TGTGTTCAAGCAATGTAGTGCACAGACCCTTTATTTCACATCAAACTTTGTGGTTCCTTGACATTACCATGCCATTGAAAGCAATGATCCGAACAATGGTGTGTGATGCAGCGGCACAATGTATTGAGGAAGAATGGCCTTGTTCAACTATTATTTAAGTCTTGTATCAAAGTGCTGAGCTGGATGCTACAAGAAAGCCATGAAAAACTTCAATTTGAATTTTCAAATTGAAATACAGCCTGGCCTCATCTCAATTTGAATTTTCAAACTGAAATCCAGCCCGGCAACATTTCAATTTGAAATTTCGAAATGAAATCCAGCAGTCCAGGATTTCAATTTGAATTTTCAAAATGAAAATCCGACCGGCAACATTTGAATTTGAAATTTCAAAATGAAATCCTAGAAGGCCGGATTTCAATTTGAAAATTCAAATTGACACTATACTTTGTGTTTTCTCTACGTGGCCTTGATCCTTGGGTGTAGATATGTAGATTCACACATGTTCGGTGTATGTAGGGTGCCTAGATCATGTTGCAACATATACATTTATGTAATTATTTCTGTGTTTGGGTTATATTATTTGAATGTTCCTAATGTGGTCCTTGGTTGGCTGAGTTGGGGATTCGTGGTGTTGGTCGGTGTGTTTGCTTCGGGTTTGATGTTGTTGGATGCACTACAGGATGATGACCACATGTTCCTGATGTGTTTGCCACGATACACATGCATGTCTTTCTACAACCCATAGAGGACTGGGTTTGCATAGGGAAACGAAAGCCTGTACAGGCTAAGAAGCCTCTAAAGGCTAAAGCTTAGGCAGCCTGTCTAGGCTTGTGCAATAGCAACCCTCTAAAGCACTGCAACCACTGCCCCAAGCCTATAAACAACCACTGGAACAACCCAAAACCCAAAGACCCTGAACCGAAGCCTATAAAGGCTCTGGGTTTGTGTTCGGGGAACCAAAGCCTGTACAGGTTGGGAAGCCTTTAAAGGCTAGAGCTTAGGCAGCCTGTAGAGGCTTTTGCAGTAGCAACCCTCTACAGCGCTACAACCCCCAAGCCTAAACAACAACTGGAAAAACCCCGAACCCTAAAGCCCTGAACCTAAACCTTAGCTAAACCACGGCTTCTCTTTTTTTCACCTCACAGCCACTGCCGGTAGCATCGTTCGCCCTGTGTGGCATACTCCCGGTCCAGCTTTCGCAAAACAGGCACCATACTCGGGTGTTCGCCCAACCGAGCCAGGATCTCGGAGATGTCTTCGCCCCGAGACCATTTGTGAATCAGGACCCCGGCCTTCGTCATCCACCCCTTCCGTGACGAGCCGTCCGCGGTCACCTTAGGGTTCAGGGTTTCAGGTTTTAAGGGTTTAGGGATTAAGGGTTTCGTGTTTAGGGTTTGGAGCTTAAGGTTTATGTAGTGTTTCAAGAACAAGGAACCAACCAAAAAAATAAGGCTTCCTGGAAATCTCCAAACAAGTGGCTGGATCCTTCCACCTCTGCCAGCCTTTTTTTCGCGACCACTTCCACCAGAGATCCGGATCGTGGTCGTCTTTCTGCCAGTAGACATGATCCTGCATGGGTTGGGATTACCACCCAAACCTATATAAAGGCTTACGAAAGCCATAGTCTAAGCCCACAACCACTATCCTAAATCAAACTTGCCACCCCTAAACTATATACAAAGGCTTACAAAAGCCCAGAGCCTAATCCCACAACAACTATCCTACATAACACTTGCCACCCCAAACCTATATACAAAGGCTTACAAAAGCCAACTGTCTAATCCCACAAGCCACTATCCTAAATAACACTCGAACACCTATAAACCACAAACCCATACACATAACTAAAACCTTACAAACACCAAACCCCGGTACTTTGATGCAACTGCCTCCTCCGTGGTCTCCTCGGCCTTGACGTCTTGAGACGACCCAGCACCAGAGGCCTCGCTGGCCTCTCGGTACCACTCGGCCTCTTCCTTGGCCGCCAGGAGCCGACAAGTCGGAACCCAAAACCCCAAAACCCCCTCCACAAACTACCTATAGCCCTAAACCCTAAAGTTTCTCTATGTGCTTCACAAACAGCAGAGAAGCTGACTCAGGTCGAGCTGGCACCACCTTGGCCTTCGGCACAGTCTCCACCGTCGCCTTCGGCGGCACTGTCTCCACCATCGCCTTCGGCGGCACTGCCTCCACCATCTTCGGCGGCACTGCCTCCACCATCTTCGGCGGCACTGCCTCCACCATCTTCGGCGGCACTGCCTCCAGAGTCTTCGGCGGCACTGCCTCCACAGTCTTCGGCTGCACTGCCTCCACCGGCTCTGTGCCTTCATCGCCTTCGGCTGCTGTGCCTCCATCGCCTTCGGCGGCACTGCCTCCAGAGTCTTCGGCACTGCCTCCACCGCCTTCGGCGGCACTGCCACCGGCGGCTTCGGCAATGCCACCTTCGGCCTCCGCGGCATAGGAGCCGTCACCTTCCTCCAGGGCGCCTTTCAGGGTTTAGGGGTTTCGGGTGCCGGGTTGAGGGTTTAGGGTTTTAGGGTTGGCATGTCCATGTGTGTATGTAAGTACATGTATATATACACATGCACCTTTTTAAATAAATAAATAAACATATATATATATATATATTCATATATATATATATATATTCATATATATATATATTATATATATATATATATATAGGTACATACACATGAACATCTTTATGTGGATGCCAGCCTGCAAGGGCTTTGGCCTCTACAGGCCCCTAACCTTATCTATGTAGCCTAGAACCCTAAAGATCTACATAGGCCCGTCCTGCTTCGGCTCGGCAACCGCCTGAGGCTGGGCAACTGCCTTTGCCACCGCCTCCACCAGTGACGGGATGCCCTCCCAGTCGTGAGTCTCCACCTGCAGGGTTAAGGTTTTAGTGCTATAGTTTCGGGTTTAGGGTTCTAGGTTTAGTGTTAAGGTTCGTGGTTTATAAGGTTGAGGGTTTGGGGTTTCGGGTTTAAGCTTGGCGGTTTATAGGGTTGAAGGTTTGGGGCTTAGGGTTTATGGTGTCAAAGGAGCCTGTACAGGCTGTAGCCTTCAAAGGCTTCTTCGGGCATACACATGCCGGCTATATCTATGTTTGAAAACTAAGCCCACCTAAACCTTATATAAACCGTAAACATGCACCTCGGAGCCACCATCAGGGCCAGCAGCCGCCATTGCTTTGGCCTGCATGGCCAAAGCTCGAAAAACCCTATATATGGAACCAACCCTATATCTATCTCTGTCTGGTGCCTCGGCACCAGACACCGCTGAACTCCGATCCGGCTGCTGCTGCGACGTCACCTTCCAGGGGCACAAAAGACCGAATCGCTTGCAAAAGCCCTTCGACTAACCTATATGACCCCATATACGACCCTCAACCCTATATAACCCCCTATATAATTAATAGGCAAGGCCGTGTGCAGCCCCTTCGGCCCTCGCCTCTGCCTCTCGCTTGGCTCGCCGCTGCCGCTGGAACTCTTGCCATTCCTGCCCATGTTGTGGAGTTTATAGGGGGCCAGGGTTGGGGGGTTGTTCAAGCCTTCTCCACCTCCGACCAGTACTGCTCATCCGGAGGGCCCCTCTTCATCTTGGGCCAACACCTTCCACATTAGAGTGTTTCAAACTTCGCTTTTCGGGCTTGGCTTCCTAGCTTTACCGTGTGAAAGCCTGCACAGGCTAAGCGGTGGTAGCTTTCAAAAGCTGCAAAATGAAGCCTGCACAGGCTGACCCTCCAAAGCGCTAGATTACCCCAAAAACCTTTCAGCTCAAAATACAACAGAACCGAAACCACTCAGCCTCAAAACCCCACTGTAGCTTGCACAAGCTGTAAAAGCCTGGAATGGCTGTCACTGGAGAAAAACACAGCAACCAAACCCGAAAAACGAAACCCTATAAACCTTAAAACCCTACAAGCATCTAAAACCCCGAACCCTTTCTAAACCTTAAACCCCGTGTATATATATATATATATATACAGATATAATATATATATATATATATAAACCCTAAACCCTAGAAGCACCCAAAACCCCAAACCCTTTCTAAACCGTAAACCCTGGCAATAACATCTTTTTGAGGTTTTTGCATCCACGGTTTTCTGGAAAATCCGCTTCCGGCATCCAGCCAGCTGACATCAATCCTCTGCCGAAGATTCCTCCTCATCTTCGCCATCTGGCTTCTCCTCGCCACCATTGTCGCTGGCAGCTTTCTTGGCCTTCGCCGACTTTGCGAATGAGCCCGTTTTGCGATACTGTCGTTTCTTCTGCTCTAAGATGCCATCCATGTCTTCGCAAATGAACTCGCCGATCGCTGTAAGTTGCCTGCTATTCAAGCGACACACGATGTCTGTCTCCTTCCAGGATTTAGGGGTACGAAACTCGCACTCCACCCCTCCCACACTCAAAAACAAGCTCTTGGCCGCCTTCTGGAGGACAAGCTTCGTCTTGGGCTTCTCGCTGGATGCTGCAGGTTGACCAAACAGCTCGTCCCCTTCAGAAGCTTCGATCACCTGCCGAATCTTTCCCGAAATCATCTCACGAAGTTCCTTGAACTTCGTGCTGTGAGCCAGGCTCGGCCTTGTTGCCGACTTGTACTGCACATCATTGCCCAAGAAAAGCTTGGCGATCTGATAGCTCGAAGGTCGGAGCCGAAGCCACGTCTCGCTGCCCTCCTTGTCGATGAGCTGGTTTGGCACAACGACTGTAGGGCCACCCTTGAAAGACAGCACGACCTGCTCTTCAATCTGCATGGCGAAAAGGATGCTCGAAGCAAAACGGCTGCCCGTTTTGCAAGCGACATCGTTCAGAAGAGGCTCTCAAATGGCATGGCATGGGTGTGGTGTGAAAGCCTGCAAAGGCTGTAGATTTAAGCAGAAGCCTGGAAAGGCTACGAGAAGCAAGCCTCCAAAGGCTATAGCTATCCGCCTTTTGTCACCCCTCACGGGTCTCATCCTCTGTGCGGCTGTGCAAAGCAAAGAGGATTCAAGCCTTCCTCTTCGCCCCTTTGCCAGGATTGGCCCCGGCAGGAAGCCTTTCAAAAAGAAGCTGCTCGCCAGCTACAAGCTTCGCCTTGTTCTTCAAGAACGGTACGACGATGCTTTTCCCAGCAATCGCTGTTTCGCCATGCTCCATGTTGCTCTCGCCAGCGGAAGGCTGGACCCAAAAGTAAGGCACCAAGCAGGACTTGCCGGCCTCGAGCTCCACCCGAGGAGGCTGCACGACGAACTTGAAGCCGCTGTCCGAGTGCTTCACGATCGCTTTGCCCTTGTCCCTCTCATCCGACTGGCTCCTGACCAAGAAACCCACCGGGTACAGCTTGAGGCCGCCCTTCTTGATGTTCTTGGCAGCATAGATCTTGTTGTCACTGCTGTAATGCAACCAGGACTCATCTAGCTCGTTCCTGCAATGGCATGAGTAGAAACCCAAGAGTTTCTGAGCAACCCAACCAACTGAAAGGGATTTAGGTTTCAAACCGAATGGCTGCTGGTAGTGCTCGTAGAGGGCATGCGAAACTTCGGAGTAGAGGCCCTTGAAGCTGCTCAAGCCCAACGTGGCCACAAGCCCCTGATCCAAAATGGTTGGGGGCATCTTCTCTGTGGCTTTCATGCCCTTCAAGTCTGCATGCAACACCTCCACTTCCTTCTCCTGGCCCCATGGGTCAACCACACGGAAGCGGGCCACATGATCTGTCATTGCCTCAAAGACATGGATATCGGTGCAGTCCTTCCTGGAGTAGCGGCCTCCCACCTTCAACCAGGAATGCTGCCGCAATGCGATTGCAGCAGCAGAAGAGTTGTCCTGCTCTCCAACAAAATTTGAAAAAATGCTTATAACAAAGCCCTAAACCCTAAACCCGAATCCTCTAAACCCTAAAGCTTAAAGCCTAAACCCTAAACCCTTTCAAAGCCTATATAAACCCATACACATGCCCTGCTAGCCTCCAAGGACAGAACCTTGATCCGCTTCGCAGGGCTGCCAACTGCAGAGCTCGAGGAACCTGCACCTGGCGCTTTGGCAGGGTCGTGGCCCTTCTTCACCGCCTCAAGCTCCTGGGAGAAAGCCGCGTGTACGTCTGCCAGGGTCTCGTACACATGGGGCTCTCTGCCTTTGCCACTCTTGTTGCAGACAAAGAGGGCGACTCTGATCATGAACCTGGCAATCAAGCCCACCCCTTTCTTCTCATTCAGCCAGCCAGGCTTCTCCAAGATGTCCCAGGACATCTTGAGCAGCTGCTCTGCATTCTTGACTGTTTGCTTGACGGCAGCTGTCTTGAGTTTCTCCACATCTGTCTTGCTCAGAAGGCGAGAGATTGAGTCATGATGCTTGGGGCTGTGGAGCTGGCAAGCCCAAAGAGCCGCTTTCAAGAAGGGATACCTGCTTTCAGCATCTTTGAAGTCGACGAAGGTGATGGCGGTCAAAAACTCTTCGCCCAGGAAGAGCTGACTGCCAAACATCTTCGAGATCTGGTCGAGGAGGTAGATCAGACCCAAAGTTGTCCCCACCGCCGAACTCGCAGACGTAGGCGGACACCGTTTCGATGTAAGCCAACGGCATCGTGAGCCGTGTGGTTTCGACGGCTTGCTGAATGCTCCCACCATGTGTCTGGTGCCAGTAGCACAAAGACAGTGCTACCTCCACTTCTGTCGGCACCT